CCAGCTACTCGGAAGGCTGAGGCGAAAGGATCACCGGAGCCCAGCAGGTCGAGGCTGCAGTGGCCGGGAGTGGCCACTGCAGTCCAGTCTGGGTGACTGAGTGAGACTCCAACTCAAAAAAAAAAAAAGGAATGTGGGGCGGGTTAAGGGAAGGTCTCAGAGCCTGAGTACCTGGTGAGGAGCAGGTTGGATAAAAGAAAGGTGGTTACAAGCCGGCCATGGTGGCTCATGCTTGTAATCCCAGCACTTTGGAAGGCCAAGGCAAGAAGATTGCCTGAGCCCAGGGGGTTCATGATCACCCTGGGCATCATGGCAAGACCTCATCTCTACAATAAATCAAAAAATTAGCTGGGTGTAGTGGCACACGCCTGTAGTTCCAGCTACTTGGAATGATGAGGTGGAAGGATCACCTAAGCCCAGTAGGTTGAGGCTGCAGCAGCCATCAGCATGCCACTGCACTCCAGTCTGGAGTGAGACTCCAACTCAAAAAAAAAAAAAAAAAAATAGGCCAGGCTTGGTGGCTCAGCCTGTAATCCCAGCACTTTGGGAGGCCGAAGTGAGTGGATTCCCTGAGCCCATAGGTTCGAGACCAGCTCCAGCAACTTGGTGAGACCTTGTCTCTACAATAAATAAAAAATTAGCCGGGTGTGGTAGCGCAAGCCTGTAGTTCTGGCTACTTGGAAAGCTGAAATAGAAGGATCGCCAGAGCCTAGCAGGTCAATGCTGGGGTGGCCATGAGCATGCCACTGCACTCCGCACTCTAGCCCGGGCAACAGGTAAGGTTCCAACTCAAGCAAAAAAACACCCCCCCATCCAAAAAAAAGAAAAAAACTAGTACAGAGTAATGTGTATCTTAGGGAAAAAGCACCAAGAAAAATTACTCCCTGATTTTATCACTTAGGGATAACTTATTAGTGTTTTGGGTATCTTGCTCATCTTTTCTGCATGTGTGTATGCCTCTGAACATATTTTCAACATTGAATCATACTGTACATACTTTTTTTAAAGAGACAATTTGTGTAGTTTGCCTCTTAGTAGTAACCTTTACATGTATACATTTCTTTTTTTGTTTTGTTTTTTTTGAGTTGGAGTCTCACTCTGTTGCCCAGGCAGGAGTGCAGTGGCACACTCACGGCCACCGCAGCCTTGACCTGCTGGGCTCAGGTGATCCTTCCACTTCAAACTTCCAAGTAGCTGGAACTACAGGAGTGCATCACCACGCCCAGCTAAGTTTTTGATTTATTGTAGAGATGAGGTCTTGTCATGTTGCCCAGGCTGTCTGGAAGCTGCAGGCTCAGGCAGTCCTCTTGCCTCTGCCTCCCAAAGTGCTGGGATTACAGGCGTGAGCTACCATGCCTGGCCAACCATAGTATTTTCTTTTTTTTCTTTTTCTTTTTGAGTTGGAGTCTTACTCTGTCGCCTAGTTTGGTGTGCAGTGGCACACTCAGGGTCACAGCACTCTCGACCTGCTGGCCTCAGGTGATCTGCCGCCTCAGCCTTCCAAGTAGCTGGAACTATAGGCACACAACACCATGCCCAGCTAATTATCCCAGCACTTTGGAAGGCCAAGGTGTGTGGATTGCCTGAGCCCATGGGTTCAAGACCAACCCAGGCAACTTGGCGAGACCTTGTCTCTACAATAAATAAAAAACTAGCCGGGTGTGGTAGCGCACGCCTGTGGTTCCGGCTACTCGGAAGGCTGAGGCAGAAGGAGTGCCGGAGTCCAGCAGGTT